TTGTTTTGTTTTAAGGAAAAAATATATTATTTTAGGTGGGAATATAAAAGAAACCTGATAGGCTGCGAATTGATCACTTTTAAAGCTCAAGTCCATGGAAGTTTATTAAACTGGTCTGTCTACTTTCCTTCTGTTTTAAATTCTCCATAGTAAAAGGATTTTTTAAAAATCTATTTGAATATTTGTAGCTTTCCTCATATGATCATAATAAATAATATTCTCCTCTTTTTGTAGTGCTGTGCCGTGGCCTTCATTGAGAAATTAGATGCCCAGTCTTTGAATTTAAGTCAGGAAGATTTTGATAGATACATGTCTGGGCAGTCTTCTCCAAGGAAGCAAGAGTCTGAGAACTGGTCTTCTGATGCTTGCTTAGGGGTTAAGCAAATGTATAAAAACTTGGATCTCCTGTCTCAACTGAATGAACGACAGGAAAGGATCATAAATGAAGCGAAGAAACTTGAAAAAGACCTAATAGAGTGGACGGATGGAATTACAAAAGAGGTTCAAGACATTGTAGAGAAATGTCCACTTGAAATTAACCCCCCAAATCAATCTTTAGCAGCTATTGACTCTGAAAATGTTGAAAATGATAAACTTCCTCCACCATTGCAACCTCAAGTGTATGCAGGATGAGAAACATTTACACGGATAGTATTTATTTGAGCCTAAATCGTAGCTAGCCCTTACTACAGTCCACTGATGGGGATCTAGGCTATAACTTAACTGCTTATAAATGTCAAAGCATTTTTAAAGGTACAGTTTATGGGGATTGTTTTGTTTTTCCTGTCACGAAAGCTTAGTAAATAATAAAATACTATTTATTTGAGATACTGAAATAGATTCATTTAAGGCTTGTGTGAAAGTTCTGTCCAAATATATTTTTTCTCCATGATTTTTCTGTGTGCTTCCTCTGTGCATTCACTGTGGTTTGGATTTGGGTATAAATTGACTTTTAAAGGATAAAACAAATGAATACTATAAAATGTATATTTAAGGGAATTCAACGGTACCACTAACCTACACTTTGAAATAATTTTCTAATTATAAAGATAGAAGATGCATTGATAAGTAAATACATAAAATTATAAACATGTTTAAAAAAAAAGGAATGGTGTCTCCTGTGCATGGCATTACATGTGTTAATAATTTTTTTTTCTAGTTTAAAATGACATATATTGAATGTTTGCCTTTAACACTGTTTTATTTGGTTTGCCCCACTAAAATGAATCAAAATATTTAGACACACTCCCCTTAAAATGTTGACTTCATTTTTAGCAGTACATTAGCCCTAACTCTGAGGTCCTGTGTAGTCAGACTGAGACACCATTGAAGTTCAGAATAATTTTTAGGTCATTAAAGTTACTGTTCAGTACAGTGAGTTAAACACTTTGATCCATGTTTCTTATACCTCTTTCCTCCATTCTTTCAACAAATATTTAATGGACTCTTTTGAAAAGGAGCTGGCCCTGAATCTGTGTTAAAAGTCAGGAACAAATGGAACTCTGGGTGGAACCTAATGGGGAGTCCCTCAGCCACCACATGCAGAGCCTTCTAGAGGGACAACCCAGACATGTCACATAAACCTCTTCCAGGGCCTCTCAACCTCTCGGTACTGTTGCCATTTGGAGCCTGGGAACTTATTCTGGGGCTGCCCTGTCTGTAATAGGACGTTTAGCAGCATCCCTGGCCTCTATACCCACTAGATGCAAGTAACACCCCCTACAGTCGTGAAAAATCTCCAGATATTGCCAGAATGTCTCCTGGGGGCAAAATCACCCAGGTAAGAACCATTGATCTACTTTGTAAGTAGAAGAGTTGTCCTCCTGGTGTTTAACACAATGTAACCAAAGAATATTGCATTAAATGCACAGTGTAATAATGTTAACTGATAGCTCATTCAGTGAGGCAGTGTGGAACCTTTTCTCACCCTAATAAAACCTTTCATAACATATACATAATTTATGATCCTCCTTCCAGTCAGTGATTTCTACAGATTATCAGTGTAACTGTGGAATTGTAATTTCCAGGGCACCGTTCTTGAACCAGGTTACATCATGCAAAAAGTTGAAGGTTCTTTTACTTTCCTATTAAATAGTTTACCACAAATTTGTAGTGCAGTGATTCTGGAATAAAACAAGGGTGAGTATGACACTTTTTATCCTTTACTTAAATTTATGTATAAAATCTATTAAGTTGATATCTATAATCATAAAGCACTGAAGACATGAAGCAATTAACCAAGTTGGCTGGTCACCAAGCTCACACAGAATGTAATTAGTTACTATCAAAGGCCAGTGAGAATCTGCTCTTAGAAACCTGGGCCCAAATGATTTTTGTGAAAAGCTTTCCCCCTTTTTCTTTACTTTTTCCTATGTACTTTCTAGGTGCTAATCCAGGTAACACACACTTACTTTTCCTGGGAATATACAGTTCTTTTAGTCATTGTACATTATGTTTGTTGAATAAAATGTGCATATCAACCTTCTACAAAAACTGTCTTAATTTCTTCCATACGTTTAAGTTACTGATATTTTTGTATATGTCTCATATTGGTTGAATTAAGATATGACTTGCCTTAAGTAGAGGCTTATATTTCTTTTAAATCAGCATCTGTACTATAACCAGAGTTGTTCTCTCAACAATAAAGTGCTGGTATTTTATGTGTTATATAATTCTTACCAGTAAAGTTTCATGATCCATCCCTATTCCAAACAGACTGCCTTTTGGTTCTTCATTTTAGGAGAATACACATTACTAATCTCATCTTACAAAAGTTTACTTATTAAGTCACAAGCATCATTACATACTTAAAAATGAAACATTGGAGACATTGCTGTTAAGAATAAGAGAAAGATGTTTGCTATCACTATAGTTTCATTGATCTGGAAGTTTTACCCATGGTCTTCAACCAGGATGAAGGCAGGGCTGAGGACATGAACTCAAGCTGGAAGGCTTGGATTTGGTTTTGAATTTTGACTGCCACTTTTTTTTTTGAATTTTTGACTCTTTGGCCTTGGCAAATCTCTCATATATAACTCATCTGGGAGATGGGGTAATAGTACCTGATTCAAGGGATTATTGTGAGGGGTTTAATGACTTAGAATACTACTTAAGTGCTAAGAGCTCAAGTGATAGCTGCTATTTGTAGGTGACCTTTCTATGTAGAAAACCCAGAGAACTGATCTTGAAACTTAGCAAATTTCACTAAAATGTACAAAATGACTTTTCTATATCCCATTACTAGCCAGTTAGCAAATACAGCAGGAAAAATTTATTCATGGTAGAAACAAATATTAAGCATCTAGAAGTAAAAAAATTCCTAGGATTTACGTGAAAAAAAAAAAAACTAAGTGAGAAACGAAAGAATAGATAAAGCCAGGCCCCATGCTCAAAAGTCACATGCACTTGGGTTTTAATGTCTCTGCCAGCTCAGAATACTTAACAATGTTATCTTTGAATTTGTGTTTTCAGAAGTCTGATAGAACAGTGGTAGATTTGGAGCCTCAGCTCACACAATCCTGCCTCCCATCTCCCATCCTGCCCCACCCCCATGAGCTCTTTGTCACCCTGTCGCCACTTTAGCCAGGCCCTAGGTGCTCAGGAATGGCTGGGGCTTGATGTGCCTGTCTATATAGCATCTTGGGACAGGGCATGATGGTGTATCTGGTGGTTAAATGTTAGCATGAGGTACGCCATCTTAACACTCTCCACTTTTGTGAAGGATGGAAAATTTCCACTTGAGCTCAAGCCGTAAGAATATCCTGCTTGGTCCCTATCAACCCAACTTTTAAAAGTTACCTCTCTAGCAACCCCTAGCAACAGTAACCATATAATTTCCTGCCTCCCAAAGAACCTCCTCCCTCTGCCCTGTATCTACCCCAGCTTGTAAGTGGACAGGGGCTTCAGCCCTTTCCTGGAGAAGCCGTCCGCAGGTTTATCTCTGGTAAACCTATGTTGTCGAGCCTGCCTCTTCTGTTTTCTTAACTAACCTAAAACCTTACAGTTAGCTGGCTGGGAGCTGCATCAGCCAGTAAGGGTGAGGACAAGCCTTGCCCACCCTGCATGCTCCTTGGAGAATAGGTTGGATCCAGGGTTGAGCAAGGGAAAAAACAAGGAGTGAGAAACATCTTTTTGGTCTGAAATCAAAGTAAAATACTTCCAGACTAATGGACATATCCCAATAGAACATAGGAGTCAGTTTGACGGGATTCCCACTGGCCAAATCTTGGGCAATTTGAATAAAAAACTACAGAGATTATTTGATTGTGAAGAAAAATATTGAATGAATAGTTTGTTTTTTAAACTATATCATATATATACATATCCCGTTTTGAGGAAAAACTACAGTTGACACCCAATTGATAGAAAACCTTCACAGTAAAATAATAGCTACTAAATGTAGAAAAAAATAACAGGATTTAAAAAATCATAAGTTTTATCCCGAACCAGATGGTTTCACTGGTGTATTCTACCATTTAAGGAGTTAACATAATCCTCAAACTCTTAAAAACTGAAGAGAAAGAAATACTTCCAAACTCATTCTTAAAGCCAGCATTTTCCTGATGAGTATAGATGCAAAAATACTCAACAAAATTTTAGCAAACCTAAAACTGAAGGAACAAAACAGCAACAGACACTCCAAGAGGGGACTAATGGTTACCAAATGGGAGGGGTGGTGGAGGGCGGAGTGAGAAGGGGATTGTGGAGTATCATGATTGGTGCACATGGTGTGTGTGGGATCATGGGGAAGAGAGTGTAGCTCAGAGAAGACAAATAGGGACACTGGCATCTTACTATTCTGATGGACAGTGACTGCAATGGGGCATGGGGGAGACTCGATAATAGGGGTGAATGTAGTAACCACATTGTTTCTCTTGTAAAACCTTCCTAGCAGTGTGTATCAATGATACCTTAATAAAAAAGAAAAAACAGTTCACATGCCAATTGACTTTTATGAAAGACTTAAATGCTTTTCTTTTTCTTTTTTGGCTGTCTTGCCAATGGGTCTTGTGCTGTGTACCTGGTGCCCGTGGCGGCTGCACTGGCCGAGCTGGCTGGGGGGCTACCGCGGCCTGGGATCACTGAGCTGCGAGCCCCCGGACGTCATTCCCGGGGCAACTAGGGAAGGGAGTCTAGTAGAGCCGCCCACGCCACTCAATGAACAGATCCCGCCGCTCTCTCTGTATAGGGGACGGCCTTTGTCTTCCTCACATGTCTGAAGGCAGAATGGGAAAGCACCTTTCCTCATGTCTGAACGCAACATGGGAAAGCACCAGCTTGAGAACAACTGGTGCAGTCCTTGGAAGTTATCTGCCCACAAAAACGTATCTTGTCCTCCAAGACGAGCCAAGATGCCTCACTCTGAAAATAGGGAGACCTTGAGGACGTGTGAACATACCGCCCCTGCTTACTATGCAGCTTCTAAGAAAATCAACAAAGTGCTCTGGCCTGCACCCCCCCTCCCCCGAGAAGGGAAAGATGAGTATAGCACTTGGCTGAGGTCCGAGAAAGGCAGTATAAAAGGTGCTGTGCCACATCGGGGCTGCAGCCATTGTCTGTGTTGTCTGTGATATTTGTTCTCTCATGTCACCCAAGAAAACGTGCAGCACACTACACTCTCCTCATGGGAAATTTTCTCAGCAAGCTCCGCTCCCGGAAGTCGGCCTCCGTTTCGGAGGCGAGGAACCTGCAGAGAGGGCATGGCCGCCGCCCACCTGCCTGCCCTGCCTTCCTCGCAAGCCCCACCCGCCCCTCCCCGCCGGCTCCGTGGGCCCGCCGCGGTCCCGTCCACCCTTCAGTCCCCTCTCCTTTCCTCCGATCCCCCCGGAGGCCCTCCCGCTGGTAAGATACGCCGACCCTCCCCAGACGGAGGACCTGACTTTGAAACCTTTTTTTTCCCTAAGTCCTAAGTGGATTCTGTGCCTGCCTCCCTTTAGCCTTTGCTATGAGATGTGCTGCCAGAACTGTTCCCTTCTTTCAGTTCTTAAAGCTCTGAACTTTACTACAGTATAGGTTTAGCAGAATACTTGGTAAGTCACTTAAAATATCCCTATTTCAGGTAAAAATATCTTCTGTCTTTAAAGCATAGTACTATATAATATGCTTTGTTACTTTTTTTTTCTTTGCACCAATAGATTGTATCAGCTGAGCTCCAAGAGCTGTACACAGGAAACCTCCTTGATGGATATAACTTGACTGATAAAGATGATTAGATTTAAAAGACTGGTTTTTTTTTCCACTTAGTCCCAGTAGCTGAGTGATACAACAAAATTCAAAACTTCGGTGACAACACTAGATTCTTTGTAAGTACATTTATTTGAAAAGGTGAATGTTCAGGTTTTTAAAATGTTTTACTTTGGGTATATATTTCTGATGACTTAGCATGAAAGATTGAAGGATTCTTGTAAAATTTTCCCTGCATGTCCTTACACACACTTTTCTTCCTCTGTAGTTACTTGTGTGGGCAGGTTTTCAATTTCCCCCTCAAAGTTGTTGAATCCATTGTAGAGACAGCTGTTAAGCAGCTGCCACTTTCTGCCCTTAGATGTAATGGGGGAAAGTGGCCATAAAAATGCTGTTTTGTGTATCTGAGAGTCTTAAGCCCTCTGGAAATAACTGAACCCACATGGTTCTTTAGTAATTGAAATTTTCTGTCATTCTTCTAAGCTGCTTTGATTCCATAATGTGTCTCACATTCTCCACAGGGACTGTGGGACTTTACCACACCGGTTTGTCATTAACACCTTGAAGATGATACCCAATCCAGCAAGCCCAGTATTCCCATGTGGGGGTGCTGCCCACGGTGTGCTGGAATGGGGGTCACAAGAAGCCTGTGCCGTCTCCTCGTAATCCTGGAGTGGTGTGCAGGCCCTCGACAGTGAAGATTGCTCCTCCTGGGAGCAACCTGGCTCATTTTCCAATGTGAGCATTGCTGGAGGAAACAACTCCCAGTGTGTCCACTTTATTCTCCTACAGTTGCTCATCTGACAGAATAACTGTAACTCAAAGGAAAGGAGGAAGCTGCTTATATGAAGGAGAAATCTCAAGTTCTAGTTATTGAGCAGTTTTTAATTTTGAGGGTTTTGCCTTAGACTGTAGCTTTCACAGCTAAGGGCAATTTGTGTGAGGGTATAAATTACCCTTTTGCTTGTTGGTTAGCTTCTGATTTCCAGTGACTGAAGTCCATGCTATGTAGCATGATAATCAGAGTATCTTAATGCTAGAATCCTGTTTTCTGTTACAGAGCAACACAGACCACCAGCTCAACACTGTCGTCACCATCAAATAATGTCCCAGCCATGTTCGAGGCTCTTCTGAGGGCCCTCGAACAGAAGAAGAAAAGGACAGTGGAGGAGGAGGACGACCAACTATCTGCTGATGGTCAGGAAAATAAAAGAAGGTAATATGCCCTGCAGAGTACTAAATGTGCCTCCCACATGGGCTTCTGGGATTTGTTGAGAGATCACTCCCAAAAAGAATCAGAGGCCACCTCCTGTGTGTGAGCAGTAGGTCCCCTTCTTTGGCTTTCATGGAAGAGCTTGGTAACAAGAGCTTTAGTGCTATGCCTTTCATTAGGCACAGGTTACATACATTTTGTAATATACCTTTTCCATAAGTACTAGAGAAAAGCCGACAGTTATTGGCCACATTAGATTCATACTTTCAATATAAATGTGTTACATTTTATTTTGAGAGAATGCTGAAAGTCTTCCCCTTGTGGTGTTCAGTTATTTGGGTGACCATCAGCTTAGGTGTCATATTTGTGCAGAAGAAAATACTTAGCAAAGAACAGTGAAGACTGGAGTATGGTAGATTTATGAGTAATGAGAGTAAAACCAGTTTCATTATTTGGTTTTTGAAAATGTAATGAAAATAGAGTAAGCAGCCTGTTTCCTCAATGGAAACAGAGGATGTTGAAGGTGCTGAGTAAGCTGCAGAACTGCTTGTGGCTTTCCAAGGAGTCAGTTAAGGATTCCACTCATTTTCTTGTAATTTGACAAATTACAAGACCCACCATGTGCCGGAGCCTACTCCAGGCACTGCGGATAGAGCAGTGAGCAAAACAAAGTTCTCATGGGACTTGATAATAAATCAAACAAGGTAATTATAGATTGTAAGTATATAAAGATTTTTAAAAAGCAGTGATATAAAAGGTAATGAGAAAGGGACAGTTCTGTATATAAGGTGGTCAAGGAAACATGGTCTGAGGTGACGGTGGGCCCTACCTTTGAAAAATAGAACAATTGTCCTCATCAATTAGATCAGTGGCCATCTTTGGTACTGTAGATGGCAAAATTAGGTAAGGAAATACTAATAAATGCAAGTGCATTCATGTAACATTGGAAGATCAGGTAATGACTACTAGAGATATGATTTACAAGTGAGCAGTCTGAGCTCATGTCAGCCAACTAAGCAGGAGTGGCAGGGGGATATGGCATGTGGAGTTCAGAGAGAAAATAACTATTATTATGGTTAAAACAGATTTTTCATGTTCTCCAGGTTGGTAATTTTTCTAGACCCCAGTGAGCCTGTAACTGAGGGCTCTGTATTATCTTTCCCATAATTGGAATAAGCAATGATTATGTGCACCATGCACAAGACCTTATGTGTGATATGTGAAGCTCTTCTCTTACAGAGTGAACTAAATGAGAGCACTGTGGGATATGCGTAGGTTGGTTGCTAAAGTGTTTTTTTGTTTTTAATTTATGGATGGTAGGATATTACATTTGTTATTGAAGTGCTTTGGTGAGAAGTTAACAAATAATCAGTATACCTGAATAGTTCAAAGGTTCTTGAAGCATTTTTATACTTTTTTTATTGGATCAAGATAGTCCTAAAATAAATTTACCTTCCTGAGTCTTTTGAGATTTGAAGCAACCTTTTCTTGTCTAGCATGAGCCTGTGTTCCATAGAAAGAGTATAAGATCCCAGGAATATGAGAGTATGCTTTAAAGAAAGTCATATCATCTAATTGAGGGTTTGTGATTTGTCACAGGCATCATGACAGCAGTGGGAGTGGACATTCAGCATTTGAGCCTGTGGGGGCCAATGGAATCCCTGCTGCTTTTGTGCCTAAGTGAGAATCCATCTAGGTAAGATTTCCTTTTTGAAAAAAGGTCATTATCAGACTTACTGTCCTGTAAATTTTCCTCTCTGAAATCAGAGAGGAACATTTTGAGTAACTTGCCACAATAACTACTTTGTCTAATTCCTTTTACTATTTTTTATTAATATGCATAAATTATGCTAAGGCTAAGAGGGTTTGTAGATACCTTGAATAACCAAGTATATATAAAAAAAGATCACAAGGTTTATGCAATGGATAAAATGCAACAGTATGGAATTTTTAAAAAATGTTAGATTTCTGCATTTGAGCTTAATTATACTTGAGGAAGAATTGGCTGGGAGGGTAAGAGGCAGAAAATGTGTGTGAAAAGACTTGGGGTAACTTACATTTTTAATTTGAGTCAGCACTGTGATATGGCTGCCAAGAAAGCTTAACATGCTCCTACTCTGTGCTGATAGAAGAAGAAGGACTAGGAGGAGGCAGGTCAGTGGTGGTCCTGAATGCCCTGGTCCTGTTGTCCACGGAGGGCTGTGGGTGGGCTGTGCTGCCCTGCAAGAGGAGGCAGACACAGACCGAAACTCACTGCGAGTGAAGCAGCTCAAGATGTCACGGGGTGGTGGTGGTGGGTGAGGGGGTTCTGGAGGTACAGAAGTACTAGCCCAGAGGAGAAAAACCCCAGGGGCCTAAGGAAATGAGGGAGGGAAGGATTGTGGTCTGCAAAAAACTGAAGGACTATCACATGAAAGGAGAACAGTTGGGTTGGGTTGGCTTCAGATGGGACCCATAGGTGAAGTAAATGAAACAGGAAGTATGTTTTTATCCAGTGTAGGTCCAGTGTAGGAATAAACTGGTCTGTGGTTGACATTCATCAGCCAGGATATAGTGATCTGTCTGCACTGTCACAAAGGTCAGATGACTATTTCACAGGAAAGATGTTGAGGGAATTTCTGTTTCAGTTTGAATCTTAGAAAAAGTGGTTGGTTCCTCCTAATTTTTTAAACAGTTTTATTGAGGTGTGATTGACATAAATAAACTGTGCCTCTTTAAAGTGTACAATATGATAAATTTGGCATGTATCTTTATCAGAATTATTGTCCTATAAATTGTCCTCTTTGAAATCAGAGAGGAACATTTTGAGTAACTTGCCACAATAACTATTTTGTCTCAATTTCACACCCATGAAACCATCACCACAGTCAAGATAATGAACATCACCATCACTGCCAGAAGTTTCCCCATGCCCCTTGGTGAAACCTTAAAACCTCCCTCTCACCCTGCGCCTGTTACCAGGCATCCATTGATCCCCATTCTGTCAATATTCATTTGTGTGCATTTCCTAGAGTATATATGAGTAGAATCATAGGTTTAACTTTTAAAATACTTAGCTTTCCCTTTCTGACTTTGTGAGATATATTTAGCTGAACTAACAGTAAAATTAAGAACATTATCCATTTTCATTATGTCAGAATGATTTAGTGACCATGGATGAAGGCTTTAAAGAGTGTTGTTGCCTTTCAGTAGTACATCTGTGTTTTTCCCTTTTATTTCCCTTTCAGGCCTGTGCCTCTGAAGAGAGGACTCAATTCCCAGAGCTTAGATGGCCACTTGAATAAGAGATCCCACACCTCTTCTGTGAGCTCCTTGACAAGCACATACACGTGGCATCCCTATTTCCAGCTGCAATGCCATTACCATTTCCTACAGTTCCACTGGAGGGATCTCTCAGGTACATGCTCCTGGTGGTGTGGAAGAAGTGGGTTCTTTGCATTTATTAGTTGGTTATGCAGTGTTTACTAGCCACCTTCTGTCATATGCTGAGATCACCTCTAAGCTAACAGCAGTTACCAACCCCTGAGTGATCGCTATAGACCAGGGTAACAAAGTAGAAGCCCGGAATGCCTATGTGGAAACCTGATACAGAACAGAGTCATTATTATAGATAAATGGACAAGGATGAATAATTCAAAAAATGGTAATAATTTGATTCAAAAGGTAGATTGAATCTGGATTGCATTGGGTCATAAATTCATCCTGTAGGCACTGGGAATTTAGTGAAAGTTTTTAAAATAAATGGTTATAATTCTTTTTAGAAAGGATGTAGTGTAGACTGGAGAACAGATCAAGTTTTGCTACCAGAATGACTTGGGTTCAAATCTTGGCTTTGACACTTAGTAGCTATAGACTCTTAGGCAGGTAAATGACTTAAGCTCTCTTTTTCTCATCTCTAAAGGACTGTTGTAAAGATTGAAGGTAATGTTTGAAAAGCACCCGTTACAGTGCTTGTCAGTAAGTGGGTACCCAATATATAGGACCTTGAAAAAAGTAATGCATGTGTGGAGGAGATTTTTGAGTGAGAGGAGAAAGAATTTGATATAAGTTTTCATCCATACAGAAGGCTCTTAGAGTAATATAAATGACACGTTAATAATAAATGACAAATATAGGAGATGAAGGCCCCAGCCAAGCCGTTATAGCAATGCAGAGCATAATAGTTCAAAGCTTTACCTGGAGTCTTTATGCTGCACTAGACCCTCTACTGAACACTTTACATACATTTTCTTAAATCAGTGATCATAACAGACCTATGAGATACATAGTCATTGCCCCTTCTTACAATTTTACATCAAATGTCATACATACACCAAAGGAAGGAAAAATATCATAATGGACCTCCATATAGCTCCAGCAGTTAAATGTTTTGTCAGTCCTGTTCCGTCAACACCCCAACCCCAAATTGGTTTTGCTCTTGTGTTTTAAAGTACAAACATGTTGTTTAACCTGTAGGTACTTCAGTGTATTTTTAAAACTTTTTGAACATTAATAACCACAATACCTCTATTCCTCTGAATAATAATTACTTAATGTTAGTTATTATAACTCCAATTTGCCCTTATTACACTGTCTTATTATAGTTACTTTGAATCAGGGACTCAAAATCAACTCATTGCATTTGGTTCACATGTCTCTTAGACTCTTAATCTGCAATACTACTACTTCCCTTTTTCTTACACTTTTGAAAAAACTGAGTCATTTTGTTCTATAGAATTTACTACATTCTGGATATTGTTTTCATCATCATGGTGTCATTTTAACATGTACTCTATCCCTATTTCCCCCTTAAATGGGCAGTTGGCTCCTGAGGCTTGATTAGTTTCAAGTTTAGTGATTTGGGCAGAGTATTGCATAGGTGGTGCTGTGCACTTCTGATGGCATCACATCGGGAGCACGTGCTTTGCGGTTGCCTCCCTTTTGCAATGTTACTGTTGATCACTGGGCTCAAGTATCAGTCTGATCCTTCCATTTATTGTTCCTATGAGCTTTTCACCTGCTGATTAGGCTTTAGCGGCTATTTATCACCTTTGTCTGTCTCCATTGTGGCAAAATCGTGGTGATCTAATTCTGTCATTCCCACTGCATTTGTTAACTGAAGGTCTGTGTAATTCTCAATAAAAGAACATGCCCTACCTATAGGAATGGCAGGATAAGAAGCAAGCACTGATGCCACAGCTAACTCCAAAGGTGACCAGTGAGGTTCTTGCTGTGTTATCTTTATGAACTGATGAAATTTTATAAACATTTCATGATCCTCAATAAATTGTACCTACTCTTTCTGATGCAACTTTTCCAACTTTGGCCAATGAGAGCCCTTTCAAACTGATTCCTGTATTCTTTTGTTTGATCACAGTAGTCTTTGATAGATAGCTTCATTGCTTTTTTTGCCAGAAACAAAGTATCCATCTTGTACATTTCCAGACTGAAGTTGGCTATTTCTTCAAGTAGCCCTGGTTTCTTGCAGTTGGAAATGCTATTTAGAGACTGTAATTTAGATTCTAAGAGAGTTAAAGATATACATATCCTCTAGGTAGAAGACTCTAAATCACTAGTTCATAATGATACTTCAAATTAATATTAATTACAGAGTTTTTTACATAATTCCTTGATTTTATACTATTATCTATTTTTACACAAATGTTGCTTCATAATTATCTGATCGATCTTAGTATACACAATTTCAAAATAATAATATCAATGTCATTAACAGTAAGGTTTTGAAATCAGTGTAAGAATTATTTGTGATTCATTTATCATTAGTATACATCCCTCTGTGGATATTGGAGATTCCAAAACACAATCAAAATTGTGTTTTAAAGTAACATGAATTTTCTTGGTTACATCACCAACTTGATAAGTTTAGTTAGTTTCATTTGTTCAGTATGTTCTAACCTTTTAGGGATTTTTATGTTTTTCTTTTTGACAAGTTTTGTTTTTATGTAAAATAAAACACTTAAATTGTTCCAAAGACTATACAATAAAACAGGATACACTCAGAGAAGGCCATCCCCACTCCATTTTATTCCCTTTCTCTCCATTTTTGTGACATTGATTATCCTTTCCATTGCTTTTTTTTTTCAAAACTGTATGCAAATCCATGTCTGTCTGTGAACTGCTAACATTTCAGATGGTAGTATATACAGGTTTCAGCCTTTTTTGATTTACTATATACTAGAGATAATAGCAGTATATAGAAATTCATTTTTTTTTTACAACTGCATAGTTACTGCAGTTGTCTATAGATAAGCATTGGGTTGTTTCTGCTATTACACATGGTGCCACAAATAATACTTTAGCTCATATGACACTTCCCACTTTGGTCATTATACTTCTGGGAGTCCCAGGTCAAAGGTTACATGCATGTGCAATTTTGCTAGATATTGTTAGATTTCTCTCCTTAGCATATAGATCATTTAGCATTCTCACCAGCAGTGTATGAGAGGGCCCATTTCTCCATGGTCTTACCACTGGATTAGGTTGTCATAGCTTTGAGTTTTACCAGTTTGACATGTGAGGAACAGTATTTGTGTCTCTTCTGAGTGAGTTGGAGCAGCTTTTCAAACACTCGAGAAAAATAATTCCAAGTGAACTAAGCATTTAAATGTAGAATAGAAACTGTAAAGTATTTGCAAAGAGGTGTTGACCTTAAAAATAAAAGTCAGTTATTTTACCATGAAAAAAAAAAGTATTTGCAAAAACAGGCTTCCTCATGTATGCTCATGAAAGTGTCAATTGGAATAGATTTCTAGAGGGCAGTGTGATGGTAATTAACAACATTAGAGATACATCTGCCCTTTTATCCAGCAGGCTTACTTTAAGGACTTAATGATACATGCATAATCAAAGCCATATAAAATGATGTTGATTATAGCATTATTTAAATAGCAGAAGCTTGGAAATAATGTAACTGTACCTTTTCAGGGGGCTGGTTGAATAGCTAACAGTATTTCCATAAGTTGAAATACTATGAAACTATTAAAAAGAATAAGGTAGAGACACAGCCAAGATGGCAGCGTGAGTAGAGCAACGGAAATTTCCTCCCATGTATATTTCTGAAAATACAACAAATACAACTATTCCTAAAAGAGAGACCAGAAGACACAGGACAACAGCCAGGCTACATCTACACATAAGAGAACCCAGCACCTCAGGAAGGGGGTAAGATACAAGCCACGGCCTGGCGGGACCTGAGTGCCCCTCACCCCAGCTCCTGGCAGGAGGAGAGGAGTCAGAGCAAGGAGGGAGAGGGAGCCCAGAACTGCTAAATACCCTGGCCTAGCCATCTGCACTGACAGTGCAGACACACAGTGCATAGTGTGCTGGATACTAGGGAAACAGGACAGTAAGACCTGTGAGCGGGTTGCTGCAGCCGGCACTCCTGGGACAAAAGAAAAGCGAGTGCCCTTTGAAAATCTTAAAGGGACACGAGCCTCACAGCTGGATAGAAGCACCCCGGTGCAATCAGACCAGTAACTGGGAATCCCAGGGAACTCCGGGTGCCCCAACCCGCTGGGCGGCAGTGAAGCCTGGAGGCTCCTCACAGTGATAAACAGCATCCCACCTGTTCCTCCTCTGACGTGACTTCATCATAGCAGCAGTGGCCATGCCCACAGAAACCGGGCAGCACTTCTTCCACAGCAGCCAGGCAAGAATCAGACACCAAGCTTGCATGCAGCCGCCCAGCACAAGCCACTAGGGGTCACCATTCTCCCAGGAAAAGAAGGCCACAAACCAGTAAGAAGGGACAGTCTCTAGCTGACATATGCGCCAGCTGCCCACAACTACCTCTATCGCCATGAAAAGGCAGAAGAATTTGATCCAGACCAAAATCACAGAGTCAACCCCTGAGAAGCTTATAGACCTAACCAATCTTCCTGAAAAAGAATTCAAAATAAAGGTCATAACCATGCTGATGGATATTCAGAGAAATATCCAAGAGCTAAGGGATGAAGTCGGGAAGGAGATTACAGAAATGAAACAATCTCTGGAAAGACTTAAGAACAGACTGGATGAGGTGCAAGAGGCTGTTAATGGAACAGAAATCAGAGAACAAAAACACTGAGAAGCTGATGCAGAGAGAGATAAAAGGATCTCCAGAAATTAAACAATATTAAGAGAACTGTGTGACCAACTCAAAAGGAACAATATCTGCATTATAGGGGTACAAGAAGAAGAAGAGACAGAGAAAGGGATAGAAAGTGTCTTTGAAGAAATAATTGCTGAGGACTTCCCCAAACTGGGGGAGGAAATAATTGTTCAGACTGCGGAAGTACACAGAACTCCCAACAGAAGGGACCCAAGGAGGACAACACCAAGACACATAATAATTAAAATGGCAAAATCAAGGACAAGGACAGAGTTTTAAAGACAGCTAGAGAGAGGAAAAAGGTCATC